TATATATATATATTGGAGTGTGACGATCCACAGACTGGGATTCAGTTGATAATTAATACTAGTAATTAGTTCACTATAGCCCTTAGCATGTTTCAAAAACTGGATGAATACTAACCTCTAAATTAGTTTGAGAATTATTAAAAATGAAATGCTAAGTAATCTTTTTAATAAATCAATCACTAGCAATTGCATGATGATTTCTGAGTAGCTAACATACACAATGACCTTTCTAGCTGCAACACTGGCTTTACTTTCAATGATATTAGATGTCAAGCTAAATATATCAACAACTACTCGGGTTATAACATGTTAACTGAGAGCTTACTCACCTATTTGTAGATAGGAGATATGAAGTATATCACTCTGAATGATGGTCGAAAACTTTGCCCTGACTGTCGTAACACAGCAGTGCTGGATCCTAAAGACTGTAAGCCCCTTCTTGATGAAGTGCACAGATTTTTCAAAGGATTAAACATGAAAATCAGATATTATATTCCAATTCTTTTAGTTGATCAAAAAGAGATGATCGGAAACGATGACAAGGTAGGCAGAGCAGGTGTTTACATTAGCAAGAGGAATTCTATTACTTCCATCACATTTTCTAGTAGTAATAGATAGCATTTGGTTGGTTTTGCAGAGCTCGCTTGGCTTGACTGTTTATGAGAAATCTAAATTGGACTCCGTAACTTATGTGAGTACATTTTCTATTAGTATAAGTTTCTGTTAGATGGTTGATGTCTTCTGTTATAATGATTAATGAGTAAAGTTCAGTAAAGTATACAAGAGGTGGATAAACCTTGCTATCTATGGTACGAAGTGATGTACTCTCTCATTTTGCATTCAATACACTCATGCTAGGTGTCAAGGTCAATACAAAAGGGTGAAAATATTGAAGTGGTGAAAGAAGTAGAGCACCTGGTTCCAGGACGCAAAGTGAAAGCGATGCTGCTTTTATATGGCTTTCCAAAGTAATCTTCCTCCAAACTTCTATACTTCATGTAATAAACAATCACAAAATGCTATTTTGAATAAACATATCCTAGAATAGTTAGTAACTTAGTATGAAGACAAATTGATCTAGAGTAGTAGAGATGTTACTCATTTTGCATTAAGACGAAATATTGCGTGATTCACAGAATGTACCACAAAAATCTGCATTTTTAACAGCCATTTCCACCTATTGTTCTCCCGCAAGGGTAAGTTCTTACACGTTACTCCTCCCACAATGCACCTAATTTGGGACTATATTCTATCCATTTGTGCCCCTGATGCGCTTGACTTAGATCTAAGTTAAGACAAATGTACGTAATTTGATTCCAGTACAAGAGGAGTTGTAATGAATCCCCTACTTTTATTTTATTGTATGCATCAATGGTCATTGTAAACAGGTTGGCTTTGGGAGCAACTTTGGCTCATGAAATGATGCACGCGTGGATGCAGATTCAAGGTGGTGTCCAGCTTTTTACAATGTTCTCTAGTTGTTTTTGCCTAATTTCAACCAAAAATAAACTAGCAGAGAACAGCATACCTCATGAATCTACCATTTATTCGACTTTTCTCTGATATGTATAGGCTATAGAGGGCTGGCCCTAAACATCGCAGAAGGTATTTGTGAAGTTATGGCTCACAAGTGGCTAGAATGGCAATCTTTTACTGGTGATGACTTTATGAATGGTGCAAGTGAAACAGCTCAGTTTTTGAGAAATTTGAAAGAGTTTCTGAAAGATGGAATAGAGAAAAGCTATTCTGAGGCATATGGTCATGGATTTAGAGAAGCAAAATGGGCAGTTGAAAGGTATGGTTTAAGATACACACTGGACCATATAGCTCAAACACGCAAGTTACCTGAATGACCTATTTTTCAGTCACTGTAGCTTTGTTTCTATGTTAATTCATTCATCTTTGGGTGGCAACTAATGGCTCTTGGATGAACATTGCTGCGAAACACTTGTAAAAGAATTTATGTACATAAATTTGTGACTCCAAAGTCTGGTCCTGAAAGATTTGGCTAATACAAATTGGAGTGAGAAAAACCTCCTGCAGTCTGTGAAAACTCAACACAGGCACCCTTTCATATGCATATCCACCAACCAAGATTTCCCTCTACGATCATGATGTTTTGTACTTCAATACCACACAAGGGAGAGTGATTTATGTGGTGTCCAATTTTTCGCGTGCACAGATCATAGAAGGACCTGGTTCTTCTATGTGTTCCTTATACTGCTGTTACGGAATAATAAATGCGGAAAGTAAAGAACATAATTATTTTTACGTGGAAAACACCTGGCTCAAAAAGTGAAAAAATCACGATCTACTACCCAGTAGGATTTTTTCCAACACTTCACTAAATCACTGAGCCAAAAACAACATTTACAAAACTCTTTGTAAACCTAAGGATTACCTCTAACCCTTTGTGGCAACCAGCCTCTAGCTGTTGCGACAACTTCAAGTTAACTCTAACTTGAATACAACACTCAGAGTACCTAGTGCAATTGCTTCTAGATAAAGCTGAAAGGTACAACTCAGAAGCCCTACTACAATGAAATTAGACTAAAAGACAAGCACTTGGAACTAGTTCTTCTATCTAGTTCATGTAGATTCAGGTTCGCACACATGAATCACACAGGAATTGCTTGCAAAATGCCTTGTTATTTTGCTCTCAACTCTCTTTTAACTTCAGCGTTTATGCGTACCTGTAAAATGAGAACATCCTGCAATATATAGAGTTAGTAGAATAGGAAATAACTAGAGTTCTAATGTTATACTCTTTCATGGTGGAAGAGTTCTGGTTATCTTCAACTTCTAACTCCTCCCTTATCTAGGATAGAGTTCTCTTCGAGTAAGGAGTCATTCTCGCTATCACTTATGCAACATTTTCGTTCAGGAGATATAAAATATAATCACTTAAGCTTATCTCTTTCACGTGCATGCCTTGTGCTTGAATCTGCCTGTGTCTGTGAACATTATGTATGGACCTGATTCATGCTTGAGTTTCTTTGTCAATCATCAAAACAAACTTCACTTAGGCCAACAAATTCTCCCTTTTTAATGATGACAAACTCTGTGATTTTCATAAGCATAAGCCCTGTTTCAACTCAGCTCAACATCAATACATGTTAGAACACTTTCCAGTTTAAAGTCATAAATCATCAAGGACCAGGTTTATTAGGTTATAAACATCACAGTCCAAAGTAAAAAGCACAACCTATCTTCCCCCTTTTGGCATCATCGAAAAGTTGCATAATCATGTTAGATAATCATATTTTAATAGATATTACTCATGGCCACTGGGCTACTTCAAATGCAATCATGGAATCAAGCATCATATATCAATCTAATGATATTAGCTATCTAATAAGCATCAACAAACAGTTAGAGCACAAAAATAGTTGATTAACATTGATACTAGTCATCCACAAAGCATAAAGAAAAATAAAGATATTGGATCATGAGCAAAAAGAACAAAACAAAATCCCATCCGGGTCACTAGTTTGTCTAACTAGGCTAGGAAGGTTTCAAGGCTGGGAAGGACCAGGTTCTTGGTTTCTGGCCTGAAGTAGCTTTAACATATCATGAAGAATGCCTTCATTCTTCTCCTTTTCCTTTGCAAGCTCAACCCTGAGAACATCCCTCTCAGTTTCTACTTCAGCCAGCCTGTTCTTCAGCTTCTCAATCTCAGCATCCTTAGCTCCACTTTCTTGCACCAAGGCTCTTACTTTGTTGTTCACATGCACCTTCTTGGAGCCTTTAGCAGCAGCATGGACTTCATAGTCACAAGCAGTCAAGGTGTTTGCTCCAAAATGATCCTTGCTTTTACTAACATCCAATTTCTTGAGGGGTACCTTGAAGTAAGCAAGTACAGCCGTGAGAATGAAACGATAGGGTATGTCATGAGTTTTGGTACCAGTTAGAACCCTATCAAGAAGTTGGAACCCAGGCCAATTGATCTGCCTCCCACTATCCAGGCATTCTATAAAGACCAGGTCCATGAATGTGGCAATGTGCCTTCTTTCCTGCCTGGGCAGCATAACCTTGTTAACAAATTCAAACAACACTTTGTGGAGTGGCTTCATCTCACTTTTGTATACAGCCTTGGGCTGAAGCTCTTCCTCATTGTCAGCAAACTTCCTTGTAATGGCAAGTGAGGTGGGGAGATTTTCTAGGCTTGGCCATTTTAACTTTTTATAATCATTGTACCCTTCAGCACGTACTCCCAAAATTTCTCTCAATTCTTTGTCATCAAAGCTCACAGTTACCCCCTTTACCACACTGGTCACTCTGTCATTTTTTATCTCACAATTTGCTATGAACTCCACAATCTCAGTTCTGGCAAGTTTTCCATCCATCTGAAGGACCATGTCCTTCCAACCCTGCAATTGTAGTTTTTCCAGCAGCATCATCATGCCTTCCTCCTCCAAGTCCTCCAAGTCCCTGAGTAGTCTACCCTTCAAGATGGTTCTTTTCCCAAACTTAACCATCTTGTCCTGCTCTTTATCAGATTCCTCTTCTTCTTCACTCTCTTCTTCCTCCACCACTTTCACTTTTCTAGACTTCATGGCAGACCTGGTTCTTTTTGCCAAGGTAGAAGGCTCTGTAGACTTTGTCTTCGAAGGAGACTTCTTTTTGGAAGTATTTATTTTCTTTGCCTTTGGAGTCATAAACCTCCACATCTTCTGCCTCCTATTCATCACGAAGGACAGGGCCCATCTCCTCAATTTCAACTGCCTCATTAGGCTCACTCACTTTCTTCTTTCCCTTTGCAGCATCTTTTCTTTTACTTTCTTTCAAGGCCTTTTCAGGTTCAACCTCACTCTGCTTCTTCCGACTCCTTGTAGCTCTTTCTCTTGTGGGAGGAGTCTCTACATGAATAGAAGAGGCAATCTTTCTCTTCTTGTTTGCCCTAGCAGTTTCAAGGAGTTTAATTCCTGAACTCTTCTTTCTTTTTGGATTATAGCTGTCAAACACGTGTTTCAGTAGGTCTTCGAGGGGTTCCTGTACTGATGGAACAGGTTCTTGAACATTCTTCCCTAACCTAACCAACCCCTCAGCAGCTTCTCCAGACCCACTACCCCCTTTTTCTCTCAAACTTTCTTCCTCTCCAGCACATTCCTCACTCCACACTACCATAGCTCCCGTTTCTTCAGTCAAACCAACAGGAGTGGGTGAAGATTCAACCACTCCTTTTCCCATTGCCCTCACATCACCTTAGCACCCTCACTCTTTTTTTCTTTTTTCTTTTTATTTTTACTTTCCAGTTTTCCAGATTCAGTTATTTCAACCCCAGCCATAGTTCCTACCAAAACAAATCTATTTTTCAGATTTTCAGCAACCTCAGAGATTGTTTCAGATGTAAATTTTGGACCAGATGTTACCTGCTCTGTTTCAGATGAAATAGTTTCTTCCCCCTCAGTTACAGACTTAAAGGAATCTTCAGATTTTTGGGGTTCTTCTGCCTTACTTGACCTCAATTGCTCATTAATTTTCTTGATTTGTTCTACTCCAATGATTACTTTGCGAGCAAACATCTTGAATCTTCCTTTCTTAGAGATAGGTGTGGTTGAGGGTGTAGTTGAAGGTATGGGTATGGATAATTTGAGTGGTGATGAGGGATTTTCAGAGATGTTATCCATTGATGGATAGATGATGAGAGAAGATGAGTATATGTGTGTTAAGAAGATGAGAGAAGATAGAGAGAATTATTTGGCGGCTGGAAATTTAGAAGTGAAGAAACAGCTAAGGCCAAATCAATATAAAGAGGGAGAATTTAATTGGGTAACGTCAGCTTTTTCAGAAGCTCAAAAGTCTAATCAAACTGGGAGTCAGTTTGAAAAGACGTTGAGGACTCTCCTTTGAATCTAGGCACTTATTGCGTTTTGGGACTCTCTTTGGGTGAAACTGGTTCATTTTGTAACGGATAAGATCAAGGAAGATTAGGATTAAATGGGACTCTCCTTTTGATCATAATCCAAATATAATTATTTCAAAATATGTAGAGTGAAAAGTACGTACCAAGTAATCTTGATGAACCAAGTTCTTCACTGAGAAATCTTTTGTGTAAGTCTGAATTTTCCAAGAGAATAAAGATAATATTATTAGAGATTAATGAGACATTTTAGCACAAAAAGAGTATACTAGTGAAAGTATGAGACTGAGCAAAATTTAATCTAATTATGTACAAAATTCACAAATTATCTAGCCATTTTTTTTTGAGTTAGAACTGGTTACTTTTAGGTGATCTTAATCATCTCTAATTCTAACATGTTCCTTTTAAAGTATCTCTACTTATAGCTTTTGTGAAGATGTCAGCTATTTGCTTGTCAAAAATATAAAATTCTATAGTGATCAAACCCTTTTCATAGTTGTCCCTCAAAAAGTGATGCCTAACATCTATATGCTTAGTTCTTTTGTGATGAACCGGGTTTCTTGGTCATACTAATTGCACTAGTGTTATCACAAAATATGGGAATACAACCTATATTATTTCCAAAATCCATTAATTGTTGTTTGATCCACAACAATTGAGCACAACATGAGGCAGCAATAACATACTCAGCTTCAGCAGTAGATAAGGCCACCGAATTTCGCTTTTTGGTGGCTCAAGACACAAGACATGAGCCAAGAAAATGTGCCATACCTGAGGTGCTTTTTCTATCCACAAGAAAACCTGCATAATCAGTATCAGCAAATCCAACTAAGTTGAAATTACTACCTTTTGGATACCATAGATAAAGGTCAGTGGTGCCTTTTAGGTATCTCAAGATCCTCTTGACAGCAGTCAAGTGAGACTCCTTTGGATTTGCCTGAAATCTAGAACAAAGTCCTACACTAAAAATAATGTCAGGTCTGCTAGCAGTGAGATATAACAAGGAGCCATTCATTCACCTATACAACTTCTGATCAACAGATGAACTAGGTTCACCTACATCCAATTTTGTGGTTGTTGCTATAGGAGTGTCAATTTCTTTGGAATCTTCCATTTTAAAACTTTTAAGCAACTCTTTCACATACTTCTGTTGATGGATCATAGTTCCATTTGAATTTTATTTAATTTGTAAACCTAAAAAGAAATTAATC